GCTAAACTTCCAGGGATATTTTTGTCTAAATGGTCTGCCCAGATGTGAACTAAATCAGTGGGGGCATCAGTCCCTTGCCTTGCTAAAAGTTGCCACAGCCCTCATCTTCTCAACGCCCGGGCAAAGGGGGTCTTTAAGTGAAGCTCCCACCCTTGCCAACGCCCTCCCTCAAGCCTTGGCTCATAATAGGTAACCCGGAGCCCATGTTTGGCCCTTCCCATCGGCGGGAGGGCAGGATTGCAGACCGAGGGTGGGGGCTGCATCTCTTCCCCCTTTGCACGCTCGCAACTCCCAGCACAGCCCCACAAGGACGCCTTCAAAAACACTGATTCTTGACCTGCTCGCACAGCCTTTCTCCAATCTATGTCAAGGTCTTCCTTCAGACGGAGACAGCTTCATTTCCCAGAAGCAGAACCAACAACCCCGTTGCAAGGTCAGTTCCCAACAAAAGTTGGGGGGGGGGCGATAGGAGTGAGCATGAAACGAGAGAGAAACAAAACAGCCCTTCCCACTGGTCCCCCCCCCCCCCTTCTCAGCTCAGAGCACAGAACAAACCAGCTGAACTTGCAGCATTTGGTCAGGCTGTTTCCAGACGGACAGGTTCTGACGGAGCCAAACGTGAAAGGTTCTTAAACACTGAGCAGGGAAAAGGCGTCTTTCCTTGATGCTCTGAGGATTGATGGGCTCGTTGAGGGACAATAGGAGATGTGATTAGTAGAGTCTTCTGGACATTGCTGGGGGGGTGGTAATGCTCATCGGGTGCTGCCACCCCCACCCCATGCCACTTTTGTAGCCCTTGCAGGGAAAAGAGCGAGCCTGGCCAGCCTGTGTTGTCCCACAGGGCAGAGCGTGTGAAACAAGGGAAAGGAAAAGTTAAATGCTTATCCTGAGTTCAGGAGAAACCTCAAGAAGACTATAGGTGGCTCTTCGGAGTGCTGAAGATTGCGCCCGCTGCTTGAAAAAAAAGGAGGGCTGTACCTGAGCTGTTGCAATGGATTGTCTGTGACCGGCATGGCCCAGATTCAGAGAAATCTGCCAAGTGTTTATCACAGGGAGTTTGGGGAGAACGCCTGCTCGCTTCGTTTCTGACCACCTTCCTCCGACTTCCAGGGAGAGCTTCAGCCAGGGCCCCGCTGCCTCTCCTTTCGCAGGGTCTTTTGAGAGCAACGCCTTTCGCACCTTCTTTGCTTCAGCTGGGCTTGCATTTTGTCCTAAGCCAGGACATCAAACCCAGGTGGCAGGATTCACACAATATGCCATCAGAGCAAATCGCGTTAGAGACGAGAGCAGCGGGTGACGTAGTTGTTGAGCATAAAGGCGGATGCAGGTTTAAAAGAGAAAAGCAAACGGTGTAGCTGTCTGGATTTGTTGGAGAGCTTTTAAAATAGGGACTAGAAAATGATCTGCTGGGGGGGGGAATCTTGATTCTAAAACTAGGGTTAAAACTGGCAGACGGCACCTAAAATGCATAGATTCAATCCCTTTGACAAAACCTTCTATTCAGTAAAAGGCAGAATCCGAAACATTTTAGAATTGTTTATTTTTAAGCAACTCATCCTTTTGCCTTTGAACGAGACCCATTGTTGACTGGAATGGCTTCACAGCGGGTCTTCCAGTTGCTGGGATCAACTGCGATGCTCCAGCAGCTGAAGAGCCGTTTTGGTTGGAAACCTGAGCTGCCCATAAATTATTTCAAATGCAGGATGGCAGCTGGCATTTGACAATGGGAAAAAACATTTGCCTGTCTCCCACCGTCTGTCAGTATGCGCTTCTCACTGGCCTCTGAAGAATGCTGAAGAACGTTTTGGTGGCCTGGTGGAGCCTTTGCGGAGGTGAATTGCCGCATCTGGCTGCCCCATCTGATCAGTCAACCCCAACATGTCAATTGATCCCCAACTAGAAAACACCAGGGGCACCTTCAACAGACCCTCGTGTTTGGATTAGGCAGATCTGGTGTATATTCTGCTGCCCTCTCCTGCTGGTTTTCCAATCCACGTCAGATATCCCAGAGCTGCCAGATATGGGGGAAATGAGCAGATCACAAGCTAGTAGATACTTCCAGCCAACAGGGGAAAAGGGTGCTGGACCTCCATCATTAGGACTGGTAACAAATGTGGTGGTTTCCAAACCCTGTGAGCATCTGGTCTGTCGTTGGCCCCTTGGGATGACCTCAACACATTGCTCTATTGTACGTAAGTCATCAAAATAATGAATGTCACCTGACCCCAACCATGATTGATGGTGCATCGTAGAATTTCTCTCCTCTGAATAGCTGTACCTCCTACTCTTACGGATATGGAAATCAGCTCTACTGTGATGCACCCCAGTCTCATACAGGAAATGCTCCCTTCTCCTCCCCGCTTCAGTTTTTTCTTTTTGCAGTTAAGCAATAAACAGCAGTGGCCAAGGACTACTTTTTGAAGAATGGCTTTAGCATGAATTTTGCTTCATATGTCTGCCTGGAATCTGCTACAGATGCATACCAGTAATTTTGCCTTTTGGATCTACTTTCACAATGCTTGAAGCTAAAGAGGGGAAGGGCCGGGGCAGCAGCACATCGGTGGTGGTTGCAACAGTCTTGGAACGTCAAACATGGCCCTGCAGACATTCCTTCCTCTTATCTGTAGAGAGGGCTTTGGGCTCGCTCCCTAGTCCGGCCAACTCTGAAGACAAAGCAGACGCAGCGTTAAGCACCTCGGCCGGGGGGAGTCAATGTATTTCCACAAAGCAATGAATTCACAAAGTCCCAGTTATTTCTCACAGGCCCTGTTAGGCTCATTTCCTACCTACAGATGGCACACTTTCGGACCAGCTGCTGCTGAACAAGCAACTTTGTGCTGACAGGCGGGTAAATTCGAAATGCAAAATTAAAAGAGAATTCATTGTGCTGTAGAACACAAATATATTATTTCTGCATATATAGCACAGGCTGAACAGCAAATAAATCTGAAATGTGTGCGTTAACAGGTCGAAGCAAAATATTCTCCTTTCTTTAGATTCCAACCTGGAAAATAACAAAACAGCGACAGCTATCCTGCACTTGTCAGGTTTCTCCCTCATGTTAGGGGAATGTGAAACCAGCAACATAAAACCACACTGCTGTTACCCTTAAAACAATGACCAGAAATGCAGCGGCAAGTCCTGTTGGCCCTGAAGAGCTACCACGCTGCTGTACATCTATCTGCAGAGGGAGAACTTTGGGGTGTCATACATCATTGCTTCTTCATAGGGACTCAAAAATCATACTTGAAATGGCACCGGGGCTTTTCCTTGTAACTAAGAGACAGCTTTAATTCCCCTTTAGTGGCCATCCTAAGGCCACAGAGAAATTCCCAGATAAAGATCTTTCACACACAGATTAAGGAAAAGAAGCCGAGAGCAAAAAGCTGCAGCGAGGCCAGTCTATCCTGTTGGCTGTAGTACAGTCTTAACATTGTGCGTATGAGATGTGCGTCTTTCCAAAACGATGTATCTTGAAAATTGCACTGAGGCTACAAGTGGAATGAAGGGAAGCAGGCTTCCAGATCCTGATGGGAAGGAGCCCTACACACTGGCTGCATTTTTGTCAGGTTCAGTGGTCTTCGGGCCCTGTTTCAACTTGTAGTCCGCTAAGGCAGCCTTGATGGCGTCTTCTGCCAGCACTGGAGGGAAAGAGAGAGAAAAGCTTGTTTAGGAGCAGACCTGGGATTAGCAGACTTGTTTTGAACACAAGGAACTCTAGTACAGCAGTCCTACAAGGACAGGCCACCAATATTTTTCCCTTCTTCCAAAACAATTTATCATATTCACATCCCAAAGCACTTGGACCCCTTCAACCTCCTGGGCACCCTTCTTCACACGTGAGATTGAAAATGGGGCCTGATTCTTTCTGACATGTTTAGATGGGATATGTCCATCCCATCTAAGACATGGCAATGCTTTTCAGCACCTGATACAGAAGGTGCTGAACACCTTCTGATACATCTCTGCAAAAATGGGTATTCTAAATCTGCAGAAGTTAGAAGTCCAGCCAAGAGAGAGAGATACCCGTCAGCCATTAAGCCAACGTTCCTTAGAGCTCCCTTTGTTACTGATGCCTGTGACACAGCTTGCAAACATGCGATGCTGCTTCCAGAGTTCCAAGAACTCAATGAACAGCAACAGAGAAAACCCTACTCACTTGAGCAGTGCAGCTTTACTGGCGGGAGGCAGAGTTCTTTAGCAATATCAGTGTTTCTTATCTTCAAGGCTTCATCAACCTGAAATACACGCAAAACTGATAGTTCAGCAAGGCCTCTATAGCTCTTGGTAACTCTTCCCCAAGGACATAATTTACAAAAGTCCCGTACTATTTTACGACAGCACAGAACTACCCGTGGAAATCTGCCCCACCAAGGCTGAAGACAATGTTCAGCAAATGTTCTAGATGACGAAGATGGGACATAACTCTAGGTCCAAGGACTTGAAATGGGCAGGACGTACCGTCTTCCCTTTCACCCACTCAGTCGCCAAAGAACTTGAAGCAATTGCTGACCCGCAGCCAAACGTCTTAAACCTGGCATCAACGATTTTTCCATTTTCGTCCACCTCAACCTGAGGGCAGTTATGAAGACACCAATTACTAGTCAGGGCGAAGCCAGAGGGAGAGCTAACAGAAGGGGAAGTGACAGTCTGGGAATGTTTAACTGCCTGGGAGAAGCGGGGCTTCTGCTTACTTGCAATTTCATGACATCACCACAGGCTGGAGCCCCCACAAGGCCAGTCCCCACATTCTTTGCACTCTTGTCCAGGGAGCCGACATTCCTGGGATTCTCGTAATGATCTACAACCTGAAAGGGAAAATTCCAGGGCAAAACCAAGGCATTTCTGGCAGGCAATCCTTGAGGAGCTTAAAGAGGGGAGCACTCCCAACAGAAGAGAGGCAGAGATGCTGCCCCAAATAACACAGGATTCCCCTCTTCCCCCTTTCAGGTTGCTTGGAGGCTGAAGAGTGTGATTTGGAGCAACAGCCAACAAGGCTCATTCCTCTCACAAATTGCAGAAAGGCAAGACTAAGTATTGTCCCAGGAATCAGGACTCTCATGCATTTCAATTCTGCTAAATATATTATCCTGCTTTTCAGGAAGGTGCAATAAAAGACGAAAAAGGCATGAGGAGGGAGAAGGAAAACACACAACCCCGGTTTTCTTTCTTCCTCCTCCACCCGTCGGAGAATCAAGTTACCATGTCCTGCTCTGCACCTTCCCTTCTTGAGGGAGGCGGCAGGTTGACAGAGGTCCCTCCAGCTCCCCCATCCCATGAGCCCCAGCTTGTAATCCTTCCTCCCTTCCCACGATTCCCGGGCCAGACACGCATCTGCTTTGGCCGGGACGCCCTGTTCTTTCGCATCTCCTCTGACAACCTTCGCCAGCCCGGCGCCCTCGAGTGGGGGTACTGCGACTTCCCCGGTCAGGAGCGATGGGAGTTGTAGTTCCTCGAGGGCGCCAAACCGTCTCCCGCCCTCCCGACTCCTCTCTCCGGGCCGCCCCACCTTCTCGTGGTAGCCCGCGGCCGGCGGAGGCAGGGGCCGGGCCAGGCCGGGTCTGAGGAGAGCTGCGGCCCGCACGCCGCTTGCCCGCAGCGCCGCCATCTTGTCTGTTTTGGAGACGCTGTGCTGCTGCGGCGACGCGCGGAGCGTCAATAAAGGGGCGGCGCGCTCGTGACGCCATCACGGTGCGCCAGGGCGAGGGCACGGCGCCCTTAAGCCACGCCCCCCGCCTTCCAGGGAAGAAATTAACTGCTTGTTGGCTGGAAGGTATTTGTTGCATCGCTTTTCAGCAGAACCTCCATGTTCAGGAGAAGCGAGCGCTGCCGCATCCCCAAATAACAAAATACGGCTGTTATCATTTTATATAGCTTTTACTTCATTTTCCCCCCTTTTCTCACTCCCATTCTCTCCTCCTTGTGGTGCCTGAGTTAGTCCAACGCGCTTCCCTTTGGATAAGTCACCCTGGAGTCTTAGGCCCTCCTTTCCACAACGAAACGAAAACTCGCCCACCTTGGCATGCTTCGCGCGTGTCCTTCCTACCTCTACACCTGGGCTAGGCAAGCATCTACGCTCGGAAATCGGGGCTGTCTGGTTTATTAGCCTGCCAGGTGCTCCGGGGCCCTTTCAGGCCGGAGTACAAATGCCCCAAATAAAAAATAAAAAAAGTCAGATGCATTTCTGCATTTGAGCCTCCTCGGCGCTTAGGGACGCGCAAACGCTCAGAGCCGACGCCGCAATCACCGCTTTAAAATAATACAGGGGAAAAGGCTACGCAATCCTAAGGCTCCGCCCCCTTCCCTCTGATTGGACGCTGGGGAAGCAGGGGCTGTTTGCCACACTCTGCATGGAGGCGCCCGCCTGTTTCTCCCATGGGTCTTGGCAGCAGCGGGAGATCGATTGACCTTCTCTGAAACCCCTTCCTTGCCTGGAGCTCACTGGACATGTCTCCACAACTGCCTGTTTATAAAAGGAAAAATAACTCCTCTTTCTTCCTTATAACTCTTCCAACACCATTTGTTATAGAATATCAAATGCAATTTAACCATTAAAACCGTCTCTTTTAAAGATTTAGGAGCTCGGGTTGCTTCTCGAGTGGTCTTTTTCAGTCAGGCAGTACTTTGGACAACTCAGAAGCTTGGCGGGCGAACGTGCCTACGCACGGGGCTTTACAGCAAAGCGAGAGCGACGGCTGGGCAAGATGGCGGCGGACGGGGGAGCCGAGGCGGCGGGGGCTGCGGCCGAAGAGCTGCTGCGGGAAGCGGCCGACTCGGAAGACGAAGGGGAGGATGGCGGAGGCGTCGAGGAGTTAGAGTCCGAGGAGTCCTCTGGAGACGGCGAAGATGAGGAGAAGGAGAACGAGGCCGAGATCCAGCGCCTTGAGGAGCAGGTGAGGGGCGGAGGGGCGGAGCTGCAGGCAGGTAGGCCACGCCCACCCCTGCTTTCCCGCGTGGGGGGGAAGAAAGGAGGCGGCTCCTTGAAAGCCTTAAAATCTGGGCTGAACCTTGAGGGGCTGCATAGAAATAAGAATGAAAGCTGAGGAGGCAGACTTTCGCTCCCGGTTGTGTCTCTGCATGAGTCCCTGCTCTGCCCTCTGCCTTGTAGGAGCCGTTAAGGCTCGTTGCAACGTCTGCAGGGGCGCAATGAGTAGCCTCCTCCAAAGGAAGACGAGAATGCTGCATTGTGTGAGAATTGCATTTTCTAATAATTTGCCCTGATTAAGGCAGAGCTATAACGATAGGGTCTGCCTCATGTGAAGATGAGCCGAGTTGAGCCCACAGAGGCAGTTCCCCTTTTTATAGGCAAATCGCTTCTTTGCAGATTTCTGTTAGAATAATCGTGCTGCCCCTTTGGAAGGAAATGTGGCCCATAACAGAGACTCATGCAGAGATGTAGCATGAAGGTGAATCTGTGCTTTGGTTAGTTTCTTTCACTTTGTCATTCTCTTAGGGGGCACTCACTGCATTAGCACGTACTGTAGTCTGGAGCTGAGCGTGCATACGTTGCTAGCAATAACATTCTGCACTAGCTGATGTGAATTTTGTGCTTGTCTTTATGCCTTTTTATCTTGTAGCAATTTATTTGGTGGATTTCTGATGCGTAAGATTCCACTCATAGTTACGGTTTAGCTATGCAGCCTAAAAAAGATTTATTTTCATCTTGGTTCCACTCTGAGCTAAATAGTCTATAAGCTGCATATCTTTTTTGGTCTAACACTGGATTAGGGATTCCTCATGCAAACCACAGCTCATGATCTGGTGCTTTGGGGCTATGACTATGAGATTTTTCCAAGCAGTGGCAAATTATGCCTGACCCAGGAGAATTGGTATACTGTATAGGAAGCCCCTTACGATCTGTGTGTTGATGTCATGAGCAAAACCTGTCAAAATCTCTGGATGGTATTAGTAGCTTTCAGCTAGGATTCTGTGGAGCTGTATAAATAAATTACTGTTTTGACAATGGTTTTTAGCTATCCATCAATGCCTTTGATTACAACTGTCATCTGGATCTCATAAAACTACTGCATCAGGAAGGTGAATTAATCAGGCTTCGGAGAGCTCGCCAGAAGATGAGTGAACTCTTTCCCCTCACTGAAGGTAGGCAAGGTCTTTTGCTCTTCCAGGAATTCAAATCTTGATTTACCCTGTTTTTTTTGTAAAACATAAATTGAAATTTAGTGATCACAGAAAAATCTTGCTCCGTAAATGAAGTTGTTAGATTTGTTACTGATAAAATTTGCATATAGAGTGAAAGGTTCTAACACATTTTCAGTTGAAGCATTTAATAAGATTTAATTTAAACAAAGGGGTGGTTATATTTCCCATCTCCCTTGATGCTGTGGCAAAGTTTAAAAAAACTTTCTTGTTTATCTTAGTGTCTCTATTGCCAGTGGAAATAACCAGAGTTTGCATTCCTACTCTCCGAGGACTCCCAGAATAGTTTTAATTTGTTATAAGGGATGAACAGTTCTGCTAAAATATTAGTGGTGGGGGTATATACCATATTTACTTAATCACATTTTGTGCTGGAGAGGTTCAGTTTGACTGACTGTGGGGTAGAGTTGCTTGAAGACCTTAGCAGAAAAGCAGCTGGCTTGCTCATTTTGTGTTTAGACTTGCATTCACACTAGTTCCAGTTCTGATAGCATTGGATAGTATATTCCTAGGTGAAAGTGTACAGTGATTTGTACTGCTGTGGGTCCTGTTAAATATGGAGGTTCTGCTATTTCTTAACTAAGATGGTTTCTATGCCATGGCTTTTTGATCAGTTCCCCAGATCAGGGAGGGAGGAAAGGAATCTGGCAATTTAAAGTGGGGCAGTATTCAAAGTTGGCTCATCCATCGAACCCCCAAAGAGTGGAAGCTTTCATGGCAAAAATGTTGTGTGGCTTTTAAATGAAAGCCGAAGTTTCTTAATTACGCTATGTGTTTAATCTTCTGTTTTCTGGGTTGCATTAAAAATGGCAGCTTTACTGTAATTCTAGTTAAAATTACTAGTGATTTACTCGTGGCACATCACTCTCATAATTTTAGCCAGATGTTTGGCACCATCATGATGGAAACCAAGCAAAGCTCCAGAGCGCTTACTTCAGATAATTATTTAGACTAAATTTGTTTTAGAAAAGATTTTGGCTTTTTCAGATGTTAAGTGGAAGGTAGCTCTGTTCAGAAGTAAGCCCTATCGAATTTAGTAGAACCTATATATAGACGAATGGATATTTAGCTATGCCTTAGTAATATGTTATTTAGCAATACCTTTTTCCAGGTTAAACTTGGTAGCATTCTAACCCCCTTTGGATATTGCTTCATCCCATTTTGACAGAGATATGGCTAGACTGGCTGAAGGATGAGATTCGGATGGCTTCAGAAAACTCAGAGCGGGAAAAGATTTATGATCTCTTTGAGAGAGCTGTGAAAGACTACATCTGTAAGTTTATTTTTAAATGGATGTTCTTTCAGGCACAATCAACCTTTATAGGGAATAACAAACTGAGATAAACAACACAAAACTGATAGATTCAAGATAACAGGTTCTTCAAAGAAGCTATCTTTCTGGAAAAAATGGTAGATTCAGAACTTACTTCAACTTCCTTCCCCAAGAGCACCCAAAAGTGATTGCGCACCATCTTGGTGTTATTTTCTAGGTCCTGAAATCTGGCTGGAGTATGCCCAGTACTCCATTGGTGGCATCGGCCAGGAGGGAGGTATAGAGAGAGTTCGCTTAATATTAGAACGGGCGCTGACAGCTGTTGGCCTCCATGTGACCAAAGGAGCTGCTATTTGGGAGGCCTATCGGGAATTTGAAAATGCCATCTTGGAAACAGTACAGGTAAGCCCTGGCGTGCTCCCCTGCCAGGTTTGGCCGTACGCCGGATGATGATTTCCCAAAGGGTGTGTGTGTTTTGTAGGAAGACGGACAAATTATGGAGACATCAGCCCTGGGCATTTGGAATGTCTGTTGCAAGGGGCTGGCCCGGGGCTCACTCAGCAGCACTTGTTCCTGACCCAGGACCAGGAGTTGTGGTCGTGCACGTGCATCTTTTAGCCGCTCTTGGAACCCTTCTGTAGGTGTTCCTCTTTGCTGCTTAAGACCAGTGCTGATGCCTGCATTTTTTTCCTCCCCTGGCAGCCGGCAGCTGGCAGAGTTCCAACTCCTGAGCAGCAGCAGACCATCAAGGTGCAGCTCGAGAAGATCCATGCACTCTTCCGCCGGCAACTGGGGATCCCTCTCCTGGGTAAGGATCCCCTGTAAACTCCTGCAGCTTGCCGGGGGTGTAGCTTGCATCTCAACTCAAGGCCTGCCCAGAAATGCTCTGGCTTCTTGTTCCTCAACTCCAACAGGTGTCAGCGGCTGAGTTTTGCATGGGGTGCTAAGCCAAAGCAGCAGGATGGTGGCTTAGGGCGAGGGGTGGGATTCAGAGTCTGTGCTCCCCTTCATGGCTGAAGTGGGCTTGTCTCTCTTTCTGAAGATATGGAAGCCGCCTACGCAGAGTACGAAGCCTGGTCTGAGGCTCCCATCCCGGAAGCAGTGACCCAAAGCTACACAAAGGCATTGCAGCAGTTGCAGAAATACAAGCCCTACGAAGAGGCCCTGGTAAGTGGCCTTCCCGTCAGCTGTAGCAGATGGCTGCTTTCTTCCCCAGGCCAGTGTCGCCAACCTCCTTTAAGATGCTTGCTTTCGGAGCACAGTGATGTTACTTCAGCTCAGGGAATTGGTGTCTTTTCTTGGTCCTCATGCCTGGGCTTCTAACTTTCCTTCAAAAGGCGTTTTTAGGGTGGGTTTTTATAGCGGGAACGTGGTGTGGCCGTGCGCTGGAAGTTGCCTTCCGACTTTTCCATCTTCTACCTTCCTGAAAGAGCTTTCTTCCCCTCCTTTCATTGCAGCTAGTAGCTGAAACCCCAAAGCTGGCTGAATATCAAGCTTACATTGACTTTGAAATGAAGGCTGGGGATCCGGCTCGCATTCAGC